GAATGTGCCATGACAAGTGTATGGAGGTCAGAGGATAACCAGGTATGGAGGGCCTCACCTTCTTTGATAATTTCTGCAGTGTATATCAGGTTAGTTGTCCTTTGAACTTCAGGGGTTATAGTGACTCCACCTGCCATCTTTCTGTAGGAGTGCCGAGAAAACATATGCGTGCTACCACGGAGTCTGGGATTCAAACTCAGGTCCTTATGTTTATATGGCAAGTGCTTTACTCTTGAGCCAACTCTCTGTCACCCAGAATAACTTTTTATTCAATACCATGCATTGTGGTGAAGGATCAGACCCTCACCCAGACCCCTCCTTTGGCAGCTATGACAGGCTGCAGAAAACACTCAGCAAGATGTAGTCCTCTGACTCAGCAGGATGTGTTGAGGCCCCTGACCTTGTCCGATCTTGCCCTCATTACTGGGAAGAGGCTGCCAGATACGCTCCATGTAGTAAGAAACCAATCAGAGGTTAGCTGGTGGGCTCTGGATGTGTTTTTCTGATAATAGTGGAATGCAGTAGGTAGCAATGGCCCTTGGATGGCCTCCAGGCATAACAACATTTCTGCAGCTGCAGCTGATCAGTCAACTTGAGACAGGTTCCCACAGCCCAGAGGTGCACCAATCCCAAGACAGTTACTATGCAATGCCCCTGCCTTGTTCTGCCTCCAATATATACCTTACCCACTGTGGCTGATGGATGGAGGACCCGAGTTAACTTGAAATTAAAAAGACTCTGCTTTTGCATCAGATCTGGTCTCTTGGTTGTTTGTGGGATCTAGACTTTAGGCACAACTAAACTTTAAAACAATTGTTCTAAGATTTATTTTTTAAATTAATGTGGGTTGGCATTTTGTAATAGATATTTTTGTGTTTTACTTTGAACCTTAATGAAGCTACTTGAAAATAATTCGGTGCTTTTGGATTTGGCTTAAAAGCAAGCTTTATTAGATGGGGATAGGAAACATTCAGTGCAGAGTTAAATTCTCTCTACTGGGGAGAGGCATGTCTTATTACTTTAAAGTAGGGATGAGTAGGCAGTTTTTTTCTCAGCAGAGCCAAACTGCAAGAATTTTTAGCTCATTGGACCATGCGATCTCAGTCTTAACTTCCAGTTTTGTCATTGGGACACAAAAGTAGGCACAGAAAAGAAATTGGGTACAGCTGTGTTCCAGGAACATTTTTAAAAGTTGGTGGCAGGCTGGATCTGGCTAGTGACCATGTGTACCCATGCTCTATGTTGGAAGCTATGAGTTAGGAGGTGCTCTTTCCTGGTTGTGCAGCCACCATCACTGGCTCAGAGTAAGTTCTGAGCTATGGTTCTTCAAAACCTTTCAGCTACTTTCTCATTTATATACTCTAGTGATACTCTAGTACTTAATGGAATAGCTAGGGAGAATATTTTGCAAATCTGTGTCTCCTTGGGTCTGTCTCTGTCTGTGTCTGTCTCTGTCTTCCTGTCTCCCTGTCTTTCTCCCCCACACCTTTCTCTCTCTGACAGTAGATACCCTAGTCTTGCTACATTCCTGGCTCATATGAATTGCTTCTTTGTTGCAGTGACAAAATGCTTGAGAAATCAACCTAAGGAGTGAAAGGTTCATTTAGGCCTACAGTTTGGAGAAACACAGCCTATCATGCCAGAAGTTGAAGGAGGCTGGTCTCACTCTGTCCACAATTAGGAAGCAGGAAGAAATGAGTGCTGGTATGCAGCTTGCTTTCTCCATTATTCAGTTCAGCCCCCAGCCACTGGGATGCTTTTGCCCACTTTAAGGATGGATCTTCCCTTCTTCACCAAACTTTTCTGAAAATCCTCTTAGATGCGTCTCTTATATGATTGTCTTAATTTATTTTCTTGTTGCTGTGATAAAATACCATTGCAAAAGTAACTTAAGGGAGAAAAAGTTTCCTTGGCTCACAGTTCATGGTGCCATGGATAATTGTAGGGAGACTGAGGTGGTAGGAGCTTGAGGCAGCTGTCACACTACATCCACAATCAGAACACAAAAGGGATGAATGCATGGTAGCACTCATTTTGCTTTTCCATTTTATACTCCCTAGGATTCTTTGCTTAAGGAATCCTTCTGTAAACAGTTAAGAAGGGTTTTCCCACATTGCCCAAGGTGTCAAGATAGTCCCTGACAGGTAGGTTCATAGGTCCATTTCCCAGATGACTTCACATCATGCCAAGGTGACAGCTAACATCATCCAGTTATTAAGCTACTTTTTACAAAAAGACTTCCTCTGTGTGCAGAAGGAATCTGCATTGGCACACTGCAGATGAACTTAAATACCTGAAAGAATAACCATTAGAGGGTGAAGGGTAAGTCAAGCTATTTGGAAAGCTTGGGAAACACTGGGTCTAAATTAAGGTTAGCATGATGCAGTCTCAGAAATTAATGGTTACTAAAGAAGCTAAAATATGGTCACTTGAGATATGTTTTCTGTCTGAAGCTATTAGGAACCTCATCTTGGCACTATAATCTGCGACATGTCTTTAGTCTTAAATTCCTGAGCTATTGAATGCAAAGCCATTGCCCTGATCTTTTTCCTTTGTCTTTCAATGTCGACATCTAACCTGAGGAATGGGTATGGTCTGAGAGCACCCCAAATTAATATGTGTCCAGGTGGTTCTATATTCATATATTGACTATAATAATTGAGGTAACATCTTATACCAGAGACACCCCAGCTCAGAACTCTTCTTCAAAGTTTCCAGATGGCTTTTGATGTTCCCAAATGGATCCCTCACATGTACAGAATAATATAAAGTATAGCCACAGTCAAAAAGCTTATGATCTATTTGGGGAAACAAACTCATATAAAGCAATTGAGAAAAAAACTCATGTTATATATAATTAACTCCAAACTAATTATATATAAGATAAAAACTGCAAGCAGAAAATTGCTTTATGCTTGAATAGTCAAGGCAAGCTTTCTCTGAAGAATTATCATTTATCTTTGGTCAAATAAAATATCTCAAATATAAGAAAATTCTTGCTAGCTAGATCCAGGTCCCCTCCCTCCCATTATTTAAAAATGAATTAAAGGCAAACATGAACACCTGCTTTTGCAGAAAAAAATTTTAAGTTCCTTGAAAGTGTTCTGCTTTTCTTTTTAAAGATTTATTTTTTTTATTTAGCTGTATGTGCATGTGTTTCTGTGTGGATATGTACACATTAGTGTAGGTGTGTGAAAAGATTACCTGGAGCTGACTGACTTGTGGTTATGAGCTCCCCAAAGCAAGTGCTGGGACCCAAATTTCAGATCTTTTTACTTGTCCTTCAATGTCTTAAAAGTCCCTTAACTAAGTTTTTTCTTTGTCCAGTACAGAACATCTGATATCATCATTATATTTTACTAGAGTGATGGGAGAAAGAGGGAGATGTGATATATGTAAAACTAGTTTTTGAGTGTTTAATTACTTTGAAGCTAAAGAGAGGGTGGCCATGAACTAGTCTTTATTTTCTCAACCTGGGCGTTTATTAAGGAGACATACTTAGTTGTGTGCTCCTGATTAGCTTACATTAAAGAAGGTTGCTATGTCTCTTCATTCAGGAAATTTTTACTCAAATCTTGGCCTCTATACACATAAAGTTGGCATAAACTAAACATTTACTCAGAATAAATTATTATACATGTATTTTAAAACAATTCTTTTGTATGTTTATAATATTTCCACCTTTTAGAGAATGAAACAAATGTACAGCCTAGTGGGAAATACTTGTTTATTTTTACATAAAGAATTAGATCCTGACTGAATTTCTGATACTGCAAGACACAGAGTATCTTCATTATTTTTCGTCTGATGCAAATTTTGATTTTATAGTTATTGTGAGAATGCTGTTTGACGTAAACATTTTGGTATATGTTTTAGGGGCATATCAGGAATTGTTAAATATTCTGCCCTAAAGCCAAAATTCACTAAATGACCTCCTTTCCTTTATTCCTTCATTCCTTCCTTTCTTTTGTGAAACTTAAGCCACCAACTCAAATAACAAGTTTTAAAACCAATCAGTCAATCACAATTCAATATTATGATATGCTTAGTTGAAGACCAACAGTGAGGACATCTTAGAAGTCTTGTTTTCTGATATTGCAGAGACTGTTAGCTTTAAATGACTAACACACAATAGCCACTAATCTGAAGCAAGAAATTTGAGCACTATTCACTGATCTTGTGTGGTACACTATCACACATACTGGCAAGTGAATGTCTTGTGTGTACATAACCAAAGCCTCAGTGAAATCACAAGATGCTACATGGACAAGCACTCCCAGAAATTCCTGAGAGTTTTGATATAGTTGGTTTTGAATTAATTTTTGTGGTCGTGTGGTTACAGACACTTCATACTTTTCAAATTCTTTGAGACCCCTCCACACTGAATTATATGGATTTATATGGGTTTGTGACTCACTGTTTAAAAAAACTAGGAAGCTAGGTCTAAGACAGGTAGTCGTGATGCACACCTTTAATCCCAGCACTTGGGAGGCAGAGGCAAGTGAATTTTTGTGAGTTTGATGTCAGTATGGTCTATAGAGTGAGTTTCAGGACAGCCAGGACTACAGAGAAAAATCCTGCCTTGAAAGCCAACAACAACAACAAACTGAGAGACAAGGGGAGAGAGAGAGAGAGAGAGAGAGAGAGAGAGAGAGAGAGAGAGAGAGAGAGAGAGAGAGAGAGAACATTGTGGTATGTACCTTTAATCCTTTAATCTCAGCATTCGGTAGGGACAGTTAGGTAAATCTTTTGTGGGTTCAAGGTCAGCATGGTCTACAGAGTGAGTTGCAGGACAGCTAGATCTATATAACAAGGCCATGTCTCAAAAAGCAAAAGCAACAACAGAAAAGAAACTAGGCCTGTAGCAGACCATCTTAAAAATTAGAGCAAAAAGTAAAAGAAAATTTATAAAGAAAAAAAATAGACCTTTTCCTCTGGCCTTTGAATTGTGCTACAAGACAAGCCATGTGAAGTCCATCTCTTCCCTCTGCTAGGTTTCTGGGAAAGACATTCAGTGTCTTCCCCTTTCCCAACTCTCTATCCCATCAACCTCAGACTTGCAAAACTAGTGTGTCAAGAGAGACACAAGAGGTTAGTCCTGAAGGAGAAGACCTGCCCTGCAAATCCTCCTGAGAACTGTGGAGAACAGAGCTCTCCTAGCACAGAAAGAAAGTCCTGGGAGGATCTTGCACTTCATGAGTTTCCAGTATTCCCTGAGAGGCTCTGAGCCTTCACCTGCATTTCCAGGTCAGTTTTCTGTAACTGTCTCCTAGCTTGTTCAGTAGAGGCAGCAGGTAATAGCACCTCCTGGGACGCAGAGATAACAAGCCCTAGAAGGCTCCATTTTGAGGGACACTTGTAACTTTTCAATTGCTTTAAGGACTCTATACTTATTTCATCATTTATTGTTTTATTTGGAACCTAACACAGAATTTTGACAGGGCTAGAAGCATTTCAGGTTAAATTAGTCTTCAGATCAGAAATGTGGACAAAGGCTTCCCCGTTCTCCAATTTTCACTTTCCTTTGGTTATTTTATTTATTTTTCTTTTGTCTGTGAATTTCTCCTCCTGAGATAGTTATGCTATATAGCTCAGCCTGGCATGAAACTTACCATGTAGCATACTTTGGCCTTGAACTCACCATGTAGCCCAATGGCCTTCATGCAGTCCACCACTTCATGGTAACTTTAACTCCTTCATCCCCTCAAATATTGGCATCACATACACGAGTCACTTGACCAGCTTCTCATTACCACTAGTAAGTCCTGGGCATTGTTCCGTGACCCCAACCCTCTCTTGCTCCAGACTGGGAAGCCATTTGCAAATATAAGCAATGTTGAAAGATGCTTTGTTCAAAGAGAAACAGTGCCTGCACTTAGTTCTATCTGTCCCTCAAAGTTGTTTTAGACACTTGACCCCAAAGTTGCCTTAAGATAGAGACAAACAATCCTTCACTCAAAAGAACATATTTCAAACTGACCTCTGGGGCTACCTATTTTAAACAGGTTGAAATTTTTGCAAAAGCCATGTCCCAGTTTGTAACATGAGTTCTAATCAGTCTTAATAATAAAACCCAGAGTCAGATATAAGGGTAAATGTTGAAAGATTAGAGAGACAAAGAAGCAAGCCACACCTTAATTTGACAACTTGTCAGTCAAAAGGAGACTGAGCTAACTCCTCTCACTTCATATACCTCTCTCCACCCAGCCATATCACTTCCTGTCTGTCTGTGCAGACCTCCAGACCTCCATGGTTAACTAGTAGCTAGCTCTGCCCTCTGATCTTTAGGCAAGTTTTATTTGTTGGAGTATAAACAAGGCATCACCAAATTTCCCTTTAGTACGTTTACACAATGAAGTACTATTCAGCAGAAAAACACAATGGAGTCCAGAGATTTGCAGGCAAATGGATGACACTAGAGAAACCATCCTGCATGAGGTAACCCAGTCACAAAAAGAGAAACATGGCATGTACTCTCTCATATATGGATTTTAGACATAGACCTGGGGAGTGCCAGCCTACAATCCCAGGGCCAGAGAGTCTGGGAAACAGAAACTTCATTCAGTGGCTGATGGAAGAAGAGGCAGAATCCCTTGGTTAAGTACTGAGCTGAACTCAAGAAAGCCAGTAACAGAGAGGGAGGACTGATGACCAAAGGGATTAAGACTGGGCTGGTTTAACCCCCAGAAACAGCTGACCTGACAAAGGTTAACTCTTGAATCCCAGGCATCAGCCTGGGAATCCAGCATGGGACTGATCAAGATCCCCTGAATGTGGGTGTCAGTGAGGAGGCCTAGGGAATCTATTGAGCCTTGGGCAGCAGATCAGTACCCATCCCGAGTATACACACGGACTTTGGACTCCCATAGAACAATGTGAGGTGCACTCTCACCCTGAACTCTTGGGGGAGGGTCTAGGTCCTGCCCTGTATGAAATGACAGACAGGGAGGGCCTCACCCTCCCTGGGGAAATGAGGGGATAATGGGGGGGGTCGTTGGGGGGAGGGCACAGGAGTAGGGGAGGGAAAGGGAGAGGGACCTGGAACTGACTTGTGAAGCAACCTTGTTTCTTATCTAAATTTAAACTGAAAAATAAATTTAAAAAGGTTGTAACTAATATAAGAAAAACTATATGCAATAAGTATGAAATATATAAAATATGTAGGTAATAAATACATCAACAATGTTTATTCCATTAACAACTGAAAAATTCAGAGAAAATGCTCCATTGTCTATCCTATTTTGGTGAGTCCAAAAGGTTGTATCTAACTCATTTTTTATTCTAACTTACATTACCAAAACTATCATTTTATGTTTCTCAACCCTATACACTTTACATTTCTTCAGTGAATTTATTTCCTTGTAACAAGGAAAGCTAAGTATAACTACAGCTCAGTTCCATCAGAGACCTGAGAAGGAAGTAATATTACCTGAGTATGCACGAAGTGCAAGCAAGTGATTGCCAAAAAATGTGAGAAATGACACAAACAGCTGGATGCCTGGACAGTAACCCAAGGTTCCTCTGCAACATTGGGACATTCATCTTCTGCCTTCAGGCCCAGCATATTTCTCCTTTGCTAAAATGCAAAACAAGAACTCTGAATCTAATATCGCTTGTTCAACTTTTTTCTTTTCTTTTTTTTTTAAGCATTACCAATAACAACTTGTAAACAACTACTCTATATGATGACAAATTTCCATAACCCATTGGACAACCAAAAATCACCCCCACAACTCTTGGGAATGTGAGTATCATGTTCTTAAATTTACTTCTGATTGTCTGGAAGTACTGGTATCTGAAAAGAAAAGTATGAGTTAATTGTCAAGTCCCAGGAGAGGTAGCAGTATCATTTGTTATCCAGTCTCTGGATAATGGGAAAGTGCAGGACTTGTCTCAAGTCCTGGGTAGAGTAGCCTATGAAGTTGTATCATCTCAGCTAGTCACCTTGACATTGTCCTGGGCAGTTTGTACTCCTAAGCAGATCTTTAGGTGATGTTTGTCAGCTTAGTGGCATTATTATAGTCCTGGTGGAATCATCGCTATGGGGTCCCATCATCCTTTTGAAGACTTGAAAGGTCACTGTTAGGCATGGTTGTGGTTCACTGAAGAAAGATTAAACATTTTAAATATCATATACACCAGGCTAAAGGATCAATACTTCTTACGTATATCTAGAGTACAACAACTTAATTCCTAGTTACCTGATAGAGACTAAAACCTGAAATCATGTATAGGAGGCTAGATGAAGCTAGAATCAGTTAATATTCTATATGACCATTAATATCATGACAAAAAGTTAATATATTAATCTTATAGCTTTTGTAGGTAGCCCCAACTTTGGCCAAATCAAAGTTGCTCCCATGTGTAAGCAATTCCTGACCCAGTGGCAATACTAGCATTTCCAATATGCTACCTTCACCATCAACATAGCAGACACACCTTTAGGTTTAGCTATTAACAGGAATCTCTTAATGAAGATATAGAGTTCTATCCCAGAGATCACACATTATTGACAACACAGGCTCCTTCTGCAAACCTATTTTGGGATCATAAAGATGAAAAAATATTAAAATGTCAGAGTATGTGACAAGTGACACAGAGACTAGAACAATGTTTTACTCACACCAATGCATTCCTGTTCAAACAGAAGTCTGGGTGACTGTATGAACAACAAAACAAACTCAACCAAATCAAAGGAAAATAGGGTTTCATATAACACAGTATCAGAAAGTAGACATAAGAGACTAAATGTGTCAACTGGTGGCAGGTAAGTCCACAATCTATTGTGATAGCTTCTTCCCATCAATCAGATTTCTTCTAATGTTTTCTTAAGGTTATTTTTTTATAGATGTGGTGACTTTAACAAGAGTCTAACAAGCAAGCAGACAGGCTTCAATCATTGGTTTCAGGAACTGTCTGTGCCATGTAGGCATCCAACTCAGCATCCAGGTATCCTTTAGTTTTTGACATGTATGCATCCAATTGGCTGTCCAGCTGCTCCTAGGTCAATACAGGGTGAGTGAGGGCACCTCTCCCTAGGCCATAACCTCAGCATCTGCCTTAAAAGCCCCCTCTACCCAGATCTATCATACACAGACCTCAGAGTGACATCCTGCCCCTAAGCATGGTCCTGGTGGCATGTCCCACAGTAGACTCTCTGGGGTGGGGGAAAGACTCTCTGGATTATGGGTAGCCTCTTCCTCTAATCACTCTCCTGGCTAGGGCACACATGGGTTGGCCTAAACATTCCTGGATTTACAGTAAAGTCAGATTCATATGAAGTAAAACCTCTAAAAGGTTTATAGTGTGCTTAAAAATATACATAGGCTTAGGAGAGAAAAAGAAACAGGATAGTAGGAAAAAAACAAAGAGAGTAGTTGAGTGTGGTAGCATACACCTTTAATCCTAGCACTCAGGAGGCAGAGGCAAACAGATCTCAGTGATTTCAAGGTCAGCCTGGTTTACAGAATAAATTCCAAGGCAGGCAAAAGTAACAGAGAAACTCTGTCTCATAAAAGAAAAAATAAAAGAAATAGAGCAATAAAAAAGCCACATAAAGATGAAAAACATACAGAGTGTCAAGTGCTGCTAAATTAATCCAACTTATATATTTAAAAAATGCTTTGACTTCTAAATTTAAATATAAGGACAGGTTACTTGGGAAAAGAGTTTTTGCTTGTGTTTCCACAGAAAATGAAAAGCTGTGAATTCCTTCCAGACTTAAATGGTTTGATGAAGCACTGACCCAGGTGATCCAACATCCCAAAACAGCTGAGATTATGCTATTACAGATGGCTACAGCCAGGATTTCTGGGTCTTCTTAGGATCCCCAAGACAATACCCCTTAACAGCAGGAAGTAGTTTGGAGATAACAATGCCCACACTCCCAAATATTGTTTATAAATGTTTATTTTCATTTATACAGGGTTGGTTATAAATGTTAATGATCACAGTCAATCTCTTTCTAAAGGGAAAATGATATAGAAATAAATACTTTGTATTGGTATGGATTTTCATTTATTGATACAAATTTAAGATCAACTTTGTGATATGTATATTTCTCCTCTTGTTTAAGTATTGTGTTTATACTGATCTTTTAAAATGTAGTTCATATTTAAATACAGATTGTATATTGTCACCTATAATAGTCAGAACTTATAGTTAAGTTAGTTAGGTTTTCTAGATATACAGAGATGTATCTGAGATGGGTAGATATTCTTCAAACCTTTCAAAGGCCTACAGAATATATGGCATTTAAATGGTTTATGGTTTTTCATGACAGTGAGACACAACTACTCCTGGCAAACCAATTATGTCTGAGAGGAAGATGGGCATTGAAGAAACTTGTTATGGAGTTTGCTTTCAACATGGCAAGATTAGCCATTTGGGCTAGAAACTGCTCTTGCCTTTACTGTTTGATAGACTGGACATGTAGGATCCACAGGAAAGTGACTGCTAAACTTGATGGAACAGCCCTAAAGGTTCTTGCTTCATGGAAGAGTCTGCCAAACTTTCTTCAGGACACAGAAAAATGACTGACAAACTGCCAATGCAGATGGACAGTTTAAAATTTCCTGCTTTGCTGAGAAGTCTGCCAGAAACATGGTAGCCTATAGGCTGAAGATGGATGCCCCAGTGTTACAGAGGAACTTCGGGTGACTGTCCAGGCAGGGAGATGTCTCTGTCAGTTCTAGTGTTTTATGTTATCCTTCTGTGGTCTTTGATGGAGTTAAAGACAGATAGTTATAATTATAGTTTTCCTTAGTTATGATAAAAGATAAGCTACATATAGGACTTTAGACTCACACAGATAGGATAGATGATAAAATATTTTCTTAAATCTTGCTAAATTTTAATGGACTAAATATTGTAACTATAGTTCTTACTTGATAACTGTTCTGTTATATATAATTTGATCATGTTAAAGTTAAAACCTTTCTTTTTGTTTAGACAGAAAAGAGGAGATAATGGGGAAAGTCCTTCTGTATACATGTTTGTCTTATTGGTTGATAAATAAAGTATCGTTGGCCAATAGGGAAGCAAGATAGGTGGTGCTAGGAGTCAAGGAGGTGGCTGGGAAATGCAGTCAAGTGTGAAGAGTCGCCATGTAATCCTGGAAAGAGAGGACATATGAGGCTGGCATCCTCAGGAAGATAAGACCTTATAGAAATATATGTGTATATATGTAGTTATGGGTAATACTTAAGACAGAACTAGCCAATGAGAAGCTCTGGACATTGACTGACAATATTGTAACTAATAGAGCCTCTGTGTGTTATTTGGGGTTGACTCAGCTCTGGGACCAGATTGGTTTGTTACAGTATGGTTTCTTACAACAGGCATTAGGTTCTTTAATTTCTCTGAGAAGGAGTTTACGTGGCTACAGGAAAAAAATGAAACTAAATTTAGGATAGAGGCCTGCAAGAGGCCCTTCAAAGATTTTGCTGATGCCAAAATGTTACCTTGAGTGTCCCTTGCTGGTCTACATTCTTTAGCCCAGTGCCTGCCCTTGCTACACCTACTGCATAATCTAGAATGGAGGGGTGTTCTGTTTGATTATCCTCAGAAAAAACATTATTTCTAGGAATGCCCAGTTTACAATCCCTTTTTACGTGACCTTGTTAGCCACATTTGAAACACTAGACATTTTTATTTTCTCAAACCTCTGGAAATCACATCTATCCAAGCATCATCATGGTCATGAAATTCAATATTGATTGTATCTCAGAGTTATTTCTCTAAGGGTGCTAATCTTTTTTTTAAAATTTGAATTAGAAACCAGTTTGCTTCACATATCAATCCCAGCTCTCTCTCTCTCCTCTCCTCCCGTTTATCCCCCCAACTCCCCACTCAATCCCTACTACACTCTCCAGAGTGGGTGAGGCCCTTCATGGGGTATCTCCAAAGTCTGCCATATCATCCAAGGCAGGGCCTAGGCCCTCCCCCATGTGTCCAGGCTGAGAGAGCATCCCTCCATGTGAAATGGGCTCCCAAAGTACATTTGGATGCCAGGGATAAATACTGATCTAGTACTTGAGGCCCCATAGATTGCCAAGGGCTCCTCACTGACACCCATGTTCTGGATCACTCCCATGCTGGCCTCTCAGCCATTAGACTGGGGTCCATGAGTTCCCCCTTGTTCAGGTCAACTGTTTCTGTGGGTTTCTCCAGCCAGGCCTTGACCCCTTTGCTCATCACTCCTCCTTCCAGGAGTTCAGATTAGTGTTTACCTGTGGGTGTCTGCCTCTGCTTCCATCAGCTCCTGGATGAAGGCTCTAGGATGGCATACAAGGTAGTCATCAATCTCATTATTGGGGAAGGGCATTTAAGGTAGTCTCTCCACTATTGCTAGATTGCCAGTTGGTGTCACCCTTGTAGATCTCTGGAAATCTCACAAATGTAAAATCTCTCATCAAACCTATAATGACTCTCTCTATTATGGTATCTTTCATCCTGTTCTCTATTCTTCCCCTGACTCAGCCTTCCTGCTCCCCTATGTCCTCCTCTCCCCTGCTCTTCTCCCCCTCACTTTACCCCAGCTCCCTCTCCACTCCTATGCTCTAGTTGACTCAGAAGATCCTGTCCCATTCCCCTTCTCTGGGTACCATGCATATCTCTATTAGGGTCCTCCCTGTTTCCCAGACTTTCTGGTGGTGGGATTTTAGGCTAGCACTCCCCTGCTTCATGCCTAAAATCCATATATGAGTGAGTACATACCATGATTGTCTTTCTGTGACAGACTTACCTCACTTAAGATGGTTTCTTCTAGTGCCATCCATTTGCCTGCAAAGTTCAAATTCCATTTTTTTCAGCTGAATAGTACTCAGTTGTGTAAATGTACCGCATTTTCTCTATCTACTCTTCAGCTGAGGGGCATCTAGGTTGCTTCCAGGTTCTGGCTAAATACAAATGATGCTGCTATGAACATAGTGGAACAACTGTCCTTGTTGTATGAGTGTGTGTCTTTTGGGTATATGTCTAAGAGTGGAATTTCTGGATCTTGTGATAGACTGATTTCCATTTCCCTGAGGAATTTCCATACTGATTTCCAAAGTGGCTATACAAGTTGGCACTCCCTCCAGCAGTGAAGGAGTGTTGCCCTTTCTCCACATTCTCTCCAGCATAAACTGTTGTTGGTGTTTTTGATTTACACCATTCTGACAGGAATGAGATGTTATCTCAAAGAAGGGTGATGTTCTTATCTTTAATGGTGTAATTACCCTTCTGCATTGTGCGTTAGCATTTTCAAAAGCCAGAGATTCATTTATTATTTGTCTAGCTTCTGAACTTGCTGTCATTCTATTTACTGCTGAAGTCAATCTTTGTAATGAATTTGTGAAGGCTTCCTTTTGGCCCTGTATAGCTTTAGTAAATGACTCAATTTTTCCCTTATTTTTCCAGTTCTGTTACAAGCTTCTGTGTGGCAGAAATCCAGGAAATGGTAATCATATAGAGATTGCCTTTGTACATTGGCATAATCTCCCTCTCCAAGAAGTTGGTCTTGGGAGATTTCCCTACCAATGCCCCTATTTCATTGCTCAATGGTGTTAGTCTCATCTTTCCACCAGGCCCTCCTCTGTAATTGAGGACCGGTTTCAAAACTGCTATAACCAAGTCTCTCCAGTCTTGAGGGATAATGCTATTTCAAGTTGACCATGAGTTAAACTCTGCTTCATAAAAGGTGAATATATGTCATATAAGATTATTGCTTTTTTGAATCTCCCTAAATCTCACATTTCTACAGTTGTCCATTTAATTCTTGCAGTCTTGAGGATATCTATTGTTTGGCATTTGATCCTGTAAGGTGACTGGATAAATTAAAGTTGTTTGTTTTAAAACCTTAGGCTGTTCCTCTCTAAACTTATAATGCAATACTAAAATTTGTTCTCCATTAAATTCCTCTGTCTGGGTTTGAATATCTCTATGATCTGTTTTATAAAGTTACATAAGTTTCTCTAAAACTATATCTTAGCTCTAATATTAACCAACATTTTAGTGATACAACAAAAATGATAAAATTGATAATGTTTATAATTGACATTACATGAATCCTATCTAGATTGGTTATCCTCTCATTTAACTGGTCCAGTTTCAAACAGTCCAGCATATTATCATAGAGAGACCTAACTCCCTCCATTGTAATAGTGATTCTCATTTTTTAATGTGGGGAAAAAGACTCTCTCTTTTAAGTATTTCCCCCTTTAATAATTCCCAATTGTCTCAGCAAATCTGCCAACAATGAGGTGAAATGTGAGGCATAGCATGTCTGAGTGGAAAACACAGGTGGTGAGCAGCTTGGCTGAGGACAGCTGCAGCTGCTGGCATAATATCTGTGAGCTTACAGTGGTAGCCCAAGGAGAGAGCATTTATGGGGAGCCTTGAAACCATGGGGGAGAGGGAGTTGGCTGTCTGAAAAATGCACAAGAGATTTTATAGAAGAAGCACTTATGGCGGGAGCTGCCTGAAGGCAGAACCAGCCAGTCTAGGGCAGGTAAGTCTGGCTGCAGTATTTGGAGCACAGGTGGGTGCCTGTGGAGTTTGGGGCCTGAGGAGTTTGTTGCAGAGAGGATGCAACAAAAAATCCCAAGCTTGCTTAGAGACTTAGGGAAAAAAGATAGAAGATCCTCTCTGGTCGGGTGGCGACTCCAATGGGAGTCTTGCTTTGTGGCTCTGGCCTGCGTTGGTGGCTGGGAAATCACAGGCAGGTGTTTTTTTCATGAATTCTTGCCCCATATTGGGTACCAATCGTAGCACAATTTCTAATTGGTCTTAAAATAGAATCCCGGAGTCAGATATAGCGGTAATTGCTAAAAGATCAGAGAGACAAAGGAGCAAACCACAATCACTCCTTACTTAGATAACTTCTCAGTCAAAATGAGACTGAGTTCCTCACACCTCCTGGCTTATATACCTCTCTCTGTTCAACCACATCACTTTTTGCCTGTCTGTACAGATATCCAGACCTCTCTGGTTAAATAGTGGCTAGTTCTACCCTCTAATATTCAGGCAAGCTTTATTTGTTAGAACATAAACAAAATATCACCACACCAATTCCAAGTTTTCAGTTAGTGTTGAATGATCACCAATTGGCTGGCTGACCCAGTCTTTTAATGGAGTTGAAGATACTGATAACAGATGTTGGATGGTCACTCCTCTTGGTGCACCTTGACTCATTCTGTCAGGTGCTAGACCCAAATTTTCACTTCAGAGAGAGCCAGTAAAGGAGTGTGTCTGTCTGGAAATGGATTCATCTTCTACACTCTTGCCAAAAAACTTGAGCTGTGAAGAACATCCATATGACCTTCTGCATTTGTATTTTATTCTATCCTCATAAACTCCATAGA